CTCCAAAAGCCTAGAAAAAGCAACAGGAAATCCAGCGGAGCCACCTGCTTCGATCACGTCGAGGCGACCTACCAACTGTCACTTTTACAGCATGCCGTACACATTGATAGCTGGCAGCAGCAATGTATCACTGTAAGCAGACCGTGCCTGGAGCGCCCCATCCCTGACAGAAGCAAGGACAAGCACTCGCAAAACTCGCAAGTCTCAAACAAGGGTCAACCTACCTTGAGCACTGCAGTGTGAGAACTGGGGAAGCCTGATGCAGGAGCGGCCTCATGGAATGCCCAGCAGCTCCAGGAACTCAGGGCGTGCGTTCTCCACCCTAAGGTCTTCCGTTGAGGAGCCCTGAGCCCTTGTTCATAGCCTCCCTTTGCTGGCATTTGCCGGCGACCTCCGGTCAGGATACTTCCCTGCAACCCCCTGTCAAACGTCACGTAGCACGGTGTGCAAACGATGAAAAGCTGATACGTTGGATGGTGAGCGGCTTGACTTAGAAAACAGCATCGGGGAGCAAGCAAGCGCATGAATGGCATGGCAGAATAGTCAATATGGGCTGTCGAGCATTCTTTCTGATGCGTTGAGCTTGCAACCTGCTAGCTCCGCTGGCGGCTGGCAGAAGTTCGGACAGCGCGGGAAGGGCTACCCTTCACCTAATGGACCTCTGTTCTCCTGGATGTGTTATGACAAACAACATGCCTCCAGAGACTTCTTGCCGAATATGGAAGCTTTGGGAAACTGCATCAAGGAGAAATCAAACAGCGCTCTTGGGATGGTTCTGTCAGGCTTCACCCCACCCAGCATCTCATCCAAACCAAGAAGCCAAGATTTTTCCAACCATGCGCAGATGCACAGCTCTTTGGAGGCTCAGCTCGTGGGATCCTGAACGCGTGCATGGCATAAGCCAAGGGGGTCCTAGCACTTCTGAACTTGAGTTGGCTGGTCAACGTCTGAGGCAGGCAGGGTGTACCGAGGATTCTTGCCCGAAGGCTGTACCCGCAAGTTTGGCACGCTGAAGGGATGCAAAAAGGACTAGTCAGGCAATCGGTGCGACAGGCTTCCACTTTTGCTGAAGGCTTTGAGACTCGTAAGGCATGATTCCCATGAGCATGTTTGCAATGATTCAGGTCTCCACTGCTAAGCTTTCTTGTTCTATTATCCATTCACGCTTTTTTTTGTTGTCGTGCTGTTCCCACTGCTCTCCAGGTGATGTTATGATTCCGATTTGCCATCCACGTCTTGCTGCGATCTCTGCTGCCGCAATGGCATCCTGCCATATCCTGCCTATTCTTGTGGTCAGCTGGAGATGTTGCTCAAAAGCAGGCTGCGCATGAGATGCTGGTAAATGCATAAGGAGTATCAATCAAGCCTCTAGACTTCCCTGTCACATTTGTGAAGGAAATTATTGTATACATTCTGGTGTGAATACATCTGCGCAAATCCTGTGTACTCATAACATACCATGTAACAAAACGCATGCATCTACGTACGTTTATAAAACGGAGTGCGGCCACAAGATATGTCTGCGTGCCCAGAGTGGATCTTGCGCTGACAACCTTCCTCTCACCAGCTGAACTGCAGACCTAGCCGTAGCTAAGACGTCTCCACATTTCACAAATTGCCGTAAATCAAGTGCGCGGCCTGCTTCGCACCTCACATCAAGATGGAGTTCATAACCATGAGTGTACCATTTGGCAATGACCAAGCAATTCCCTCTTCCAATGATCACATGAAAACTCTCTTGAAGTCTGACAACAAATCCGATTTACGAGGAGACGGCACCTGTGGCGACACGGGAAAGCTGTTGGTGAACCGTCTGCGAGGCCCATGGAGCTGCAGGAGCTGCAGGAGCACTTGGCGCAGCTGGCTCCTGACATCTCGCAGCCCTCTCCAGCAAAGCTGTACAGCACCAGGAACCAGTGCTGGAGGCTTCCCAACTTCCAGCACAAACACCACAGGCTTGGGCTGGCACTCCATCGGCCGCTATTGACTCACCACCTCGGCTTCTTCGATCGCAAGTGGAATACATGCTATCATGTCGCTGAACGTTTGAATCAAAGTGTGTTGATCCAAAGAAACAGTCTGCGCCTCGAGTTCAAGTGGAGGCTGTCGTGCCACGAAGTCTGTGCACCCTGCCAAGCCGCCCACCGGACAGCGGGCTGGGCGCTCCAGACTTGACGGACTTCTGCGCGGCAGGACAGGATATGGTTTCGCGAGCGGAGCAATGATGTCGCAAGGTAGGAAGTCGCAAGTTGTTGTGATCCAGCCGAATCAACTACGAGTGTGGTTAGCTTCTGATGGTTTGGAGACTCATCTGGTCGCACACAGGAGCGCCCTGCATGCAAGACTGAAACAACATTCAAGTGCTACCACCAAG